GTTTAATATAATATATAACCTTTTTATTATCCATCTCTCCATGAAGGCAAAGATGATTTTGTCTGCTTCATTTACTGCAGAATCCTCAGAACTGTGCCTGCCATACAGCTCATATTCAATAAAAATTTGTTGAACATAAAGAAACAATGCCCATCTACACTCTAAAATGTATTTAGGAATTTCACCACTCTTGATGTGGTTTACTGAAAGGCACTGACTCCATAGAAGACCAGACCCCAGAAGCCTGGCCACAGCAACCTAGCAAATACAGACCTCCACTTTGTCTATCTTTCACTTTGAATGTATCCCCCAAAACAAGGTTACTCATGTTGCAATTTTCAAGAAGTTGTCCTGCCCAAGGTAGGCAAAAACTGCTGACATAAATCTGGAGGGAAAGGTGTCACTCTCAGTGAAATAATAAGCTAGAAATAAAAATACCTCTGCCCAAGGGACTGTAAGGGAAATTATCTAGCTTAAATTTTGGCATTAAGTGGAAAGGTAAAAAAAAAAAGTCCTCTGAACATTTACAGCCACAGGCCTGTCATCATGCTTCTTCGCAGCCTGAAATACCATTTCCCGGGTATTATGGGTTATCAAGATTATGGATATCAGGATTATGTTAGCTTCCTGAAAACGCCTTGGAAGCATTCCTTCCTTTGCTATACTCTGGAAGACAAGTAATACATCCAAAATAGTACAAAGAAAATGAGAACCACATAATAAAAGATTAAAAGATACAAAAGCAATGAAAACAGGATGTACGAAAGGAAATACACTGGGAGACCTAAGACTAAATAGATCTGTCATACCTACAAACAAAATTGAGCTAAACAGTACAAATTACCTACCAAAATCCAGAATACTCTCAGATTGGACCACACATGGCTAAAGCAGTTCTCAGATTAATATGTAACCCCAAATACATCTATGAACAAACCATAAAGGATGAGATTAACTAACTTACACATTCAACTAAAGAAGTTAGAAAAAAATAAAAAATAGAAAAGCAGATGGAAGGGCTTTAATAAAATGAAAGCACAAATGAATTTATCAAAAAATATAAAAATTATATAAATGCAATAACTGGTCCTTGGGGGGACATAAAATTAAAAAAAAAAACATTAACATTAGTTTACCTAACGGAGGAAAAAGAAATCACAAATTCACTCCATGAGAAATGATACTGGAGAAATAACCATATATAGAGAAAATTAAATGAATAGTGAGAGAATACTTTGCTCAGATTTCACAAATGTATTAGAAACCTGGAGGAAAGGGAATATTTTTTATGAAAATCACAGGGACTGCATATATCCATATCTATACATTGATAGATATATCAATATAAATACATATACAATCTAAATAAAGAAAATATGATGGAAGAAAAAGAGAAAAAAGACAGATACCCTTCAAATAATGCATCATGCCCAGATAAAATCACAGGAGAATCCTACAAAACCTTTAAGGACCAAATAACACCAAAGCAGTGCTAATTGTTCCAGACATGTTTATTCTGTGAAAGGGGCTGGATAGTTTGAGGATGATCAAATCCATTCCATATTTACAGTGTTGAAAACACTCTAAGGGCTTTACCAGATCATTTTGGGGAGGGGAAATCAGACACCCTTAGGAACGTATGAGTCTATTTTACAGTTAAGGAAGTGCCACATTTTTTCATGTCCAACATATCCATAGGATTTCTGTTCAATGTGAGTTTTCCCATGCACAATGAGGTCTGACTTCTGGGAAAAGACCTTCCCACAATCAGTATGTATATAAGGTTTCTCTCCTACGTGGATTCTGATGTCTAGTGAGGTGTATGTGCTGGCAGAAGACCTTCCCACATTCACTGCATTTGGACGGTTTCTCCCTTGTGTGTGTTCTCTGATATGTGATCATCTGTGATTTCCGGAAAAACGTCATCCCATACTCAGCAGATTCGAAGAGTTTCTGTCTAGTATGGGTTTTCTGATGTACAACTAGTGGAGACTTCTCACAGAAAGCTTTTCCACATTCACTACCTTCATATGATTTCTTTCCAGTATGAGCTTTCTGATGTATAATGAGGTGTGACTTCAGGGAACAGGCCCTTCCATAATCAGTACACTCATAAGGTTTCTCCCTTGTATGAATTCTCTGATGAATAATGAGGGGTGACTTCTGAGAAAAGTTTTTGCCACATTCACTACACTCATAGGGTTTCTCCCCCGTATGAATTCTCTGGTGTATAATAAGAGGTGATTTCTGAGAGAAAGCTTTTCCACATTCTTTACATATATAAGGTTTCTCTCCAGTATGAAGCCTTTGATGTCCAGTGAGGTGTGACTTCTGGGAAAAGGCCTTCCCACAGTGAGTACATACATAAGGTTTCTCTCCTGTATGAATTCTTTGATGTCCTATGAGGTGGGATTGCTGGCAAAAGGTTTTTCCACATTCACTGCACTTATAGGGTTTCTCTCCAGTATGCGTTCTCTGATGGATGATGAGCTGTGTTTTCCGAGGGAAGGTCTTCTCACATTCGGTACACTCATAGGGTTTCTTCCCAGTATGAGTTGTCTGGTGTATAAAAAGATGAGACTTCTCACAGAAAGCTTTCCCACATTCACTGCACTCAAAGGGCTTCTCTCTGGTATGAACTCGCTGATGTATAATGAGATGTGACTTCTGGGAGAAGGCTTTTTGGCACTCAAAACATTCATAGGGTTTCTCTCCAGTGTGGACTCTCTGATGAACAATAAAAGGTGACTTCTGGGAAAAAGCCTTCCCACACTCAGTACATTCATAGGGTTTCTCTCCAGTATGAATCCGCTGATGCACAATGAGATGTGATTTCTCACTGAAGGTTTTCTCACAATCTCCACATACATATGGTTTCTCTCCAGTATGAATTCTTTGATGTATAATGAGCTGTGACTTCTTAATAAAGCTCTTCCCACACACACTACAAACATTGGGTTTCTCCCCAGCTTTAACTTTCATATTCTGAATATGGGCTTGCTTATGATTGAGAACATTTTTACATTGATTATGTCTACAGAATTTCATTCCAGTGTGAATTTTCTCAGGAATAAAACAGAAAGCACTGTAGCTAGGTGGTCTCCCGCATCCAAATCTCTCAACGAGATTCTTTTTTGCATAGCTTTTATTACAAGTGAGTGAGTCTAAATTAGATTTCAAGCTCTTTTCACATGAATCAAAATTATGGAGTTTTTTACTTGAAGGATCAAGGTCTATGCACCCACTGAATATTTTTCCAAATGTATTGCATTTGGAGCCTCTATTCTTGGTCATTATTTCATGGCTGATGACTGTGACCTGCCTCAAAATTCTCTCTTGGTTTCCTTGATATCTATCTACCTGACAATCAATATGCCAGACTTTTAAGACAGAGTGAAATGAATTATCCTTTCGGGCTCTTTTCGGTATCTCCCTTTGAAATGAAAGTTCTCCAGAAATGATCCACTGAGAAGAGTCAAGGCTTTTCTCCCTATCTAAAGAAGAAGAAAAAATAATACCAAATAGATAACAAAAGGAAAACAGCAATGGACAGAAGTGCTAAGAAGGTAGCTGATGTAAGATGGATATTATAAAGGAGGCCTGATGAATTTTAAAGATGAAAAGGGGCCATTGATTTCAGGGAAGAAGAAAATGTCCTCTCAGCCATCTACCCAGTTCTTACTCACCTGAGTAGATCCACCTTGACAGCTCACTGTCTATGATCCACAGATCTGTTTCATGTTCCAACTTGAAGATTATACTTGGTTTTATGCTTGAACACCCTGCTGAGGGAAAATTATAATGGCCTTGGCAGTTTGGAAATTAATGAGGAGAAGCAGTTTCAGGGGCCTCCAGCAAAAGTGGATCCTTAACTCACAAAAATAAATTCTAGATATAGCAAAAATATAAACATAAAAAACTGAAATCATCAATGGAAAATCATAAAGGTCATGGTCTTGACAGCTCTCAAGGACAAGGAGAATTTGATTCATTGTTACACAGAGAATTTGTCCTTACCCACAGAGACCAGGTGACTATAGATTTCTAGCATCACATCCCTGTGCAGAGTCTTCTGAGCAGGGTCCAGCTGCCGCCACTCTTCCTGAGTGAAGTCCACAGCCACATCTTCAAATGTCACTGATTCCTATAACAGCATATTCCTGTATGATCTGCTCATTCTGATCATTTTACCACAGAAATACCTGTAAGATGCCTACTTTGCATTTTGTGTAGCATACTTCACGAGAAAAAAATGATATAAAATCCTGACATTAACAAGATTAGTTAGTATAACAGAATAGTCTAAAATTAGATGCAAACAAAAATGGGTAATTTAATATATAATAAAGGTAACATTTTAAATAAGGGAAGAAAAGACAGATTACTCAAAACTGGGTAACTATCAGGAAAAAATATGAAGTTGGATTCTCTATTCACACTATATATAAAAATTAATTTGAAATATAATAAATTAATAAACAAAAAAAGAGAAGCCACAAAATAAAGACAGGAGATTTTTTTAAATAAAAATAATTTTAGAGTGTAGAAGACTCTTCTAACTAAACATGCTACAAAACCCAGATACCACAAAGGAAAATACTGAAAAACTTGACTGCTTTATGTATTGCATGGCAAAATATTATAAACAAACTCAAAAGACAAGCAACTAGCCTAGAAGAAGATGTATACACAATACATACAATGGACAAAGAGAATTTCTTTAATTTGTATAGAGAGTTCCTACAAAGCAAGAATAAAAAGACTAATAACTTAATTTTTTAAAAAATAATCAAAGGACATGACCATCAATTCACAAAAAAGAAAATGAACATGGATTGTACACATGTAAAATGGTGCTCAACCTAATTCACATGAAGAGAAATGAAAATTAAAATAAGACACCATGTTTTTCTTACATATTATCAAAGATTAGAGTTTGATGAGTCACTGAGTTGGTGAAAAGGTCAAGAAACAAGCACTCAAATTGTAGGTATACAATGGTATAATATATTTTAATGGCAATTAATCTGGTAATACCCATCAAAATTTTTAACTGTATATATCCTCTGACTAGCAATTCCATTTCTAGAAATTATTCCACATAAATACTCATCTATGTAAGCAAAACATCACATGTGAAGATACTGTACTCCAGTACTGTTTATAATAGCAAATGAATGAAAATAACCTCATGGAGGATTAGATAGATCAATAATGCTTCAGTTCCCATGAGAAAATACTATATGCAACCATAAAAAGCAACAAAGAAGCTCTACATAGATTGATATGCAACAATCTCTAAGATATATTGTTAAGTGAAAAAAGTATTCATCCATTCAACAAGCAGTTACTGAGCACCTGCTGAATGCCAGGCACTATGCTAGGGACTGGGGAATATGACAGGCAAGAAACCTGGCAAATATACCTTCCCTCGAGGATCTTATATTCTAGTGAGGGGAGACAGACAACAAGATTGAGAGACAAATCATCCTCTAGTCAAAAAAAAAGAGGTTGTAATGTATACTTCAAAATTCATATCACTTATACACAAAAAGCCCCAAAAGAAATAAGCAAAAGACAAAGAAGGAAAGGGGATTTACAGAGAAATATAAAATGGCAAATAAATACGTGAAAAGATGCTGATGGTCATTCGATCATTAGAGAAAAGCAAGTGAAAATAAAATGTAATGCTCAACCATAAAAATAACAAGAATGAAAACACTGATGCTATCTGGTAGTGAGGAAAATTGGGAAATGGACCTCTTTGTAAATAATTTGTAGCCACATGGGGAGCTGATTACACAATATCAAAATACAATTTAAGAAATACCCTTTAAATTGTAAACATGCTAGCTCTTTGACTTAGCACATGTCTAAGAATTTGGCCTACATAAATATTTGACAAATATACAAAGATGTATTTATGAGGTTGTTCCCTTATTTGTGACTTCATTGCTTTAGAGTCTTAGCTAGACTATATACTAGCTGTGCCTCAGTTTTTTCATCTGAAAAATGAGGATAATAAGGTACCTAGCACAAAGCATTCTTGGGTAAATCACATGAGTTAATTCCACTATAACTACTTATAAAGGTATTGGCACACAGTAAGAATTCAAAAAACAATAGCAGTGATTATTATTATTGCTATTATATATTTTTTAAAAAACTAGAAACAATAAAAAAAAAAGCCCATCGATTTGACAACGCAGATTAAGCGACAGCAAAGTATGGCCCATTAGCTAAATCTGGCCTACTAGCTAAGAATGGTTTTGATATTTTTAATGGTTAAAAAAAAGTCAAAAGAAGAATATTTTCTGACATGAAAATTATATGAAATTCAACTTTCAATGTCCATAAATAAAATGCTTTTGTATCGCAGCCATGTTCATTGGTTTACATATTGTCTACGGCTGCTTCAACCTATAATAGCAGATTTGAAGAGTTGCAATAGAGACCATATGGCCTACAAAGCTTAAAATATTTTTATCTGGCCCTTTACAGAAAAAACGTGCTGACTTCTAACTTGGACAAACTGAACAAATTACTTGAAAATCATAAATTACCAAACCAGACATTAAAAGAAATAGAAAATCTGAATGGTACTATATCTTTTAAATAAATCAAATTCATAATTTAAAACCTACACACACACACACACACACACACACACTCACACACACACACACTGTAAAAAGAAAAACAACAACAAAATAAAACCTGCCAACAAAGAACACTCCATGCCCTGAAGACTTCACTGGGGAATTCTTCCAAATATTTAAGAAGAAAATAATACCAATATTATCCAAACTTTTCCAGATAATACTTCCCAAATTGTTATATGAGGCCAACATAACTGAGATGCCAAAACATGACAAGAATAATACAAGAAAGAAAAATTTTAGGCCACTATGTCTCAAGAACATAGTAGTAAAAATACTAAACAAAATATTAATAAGGGATTGGCCAGATGATGATGATGATGAGGAGGAGGAGGAGGATAGTGGGTGGAGATAAATGATAGATAAAACAAGATTGGCCACCAGTTGATATTTGCAGCTAACTTTTAAGTACAAAGGGGTTCACTAAAATCTATTTTTGTGCCTGTTCGAAAATGAAATTTCCATAATAAAATATATAAAAAGTACATTTATCGGATATATAGGTATAGGTTGCATAGGTAAAAAGGAAAGTTGCAGAACAGAAAATATGGTGTGTTTATTAATGAAAATAATAAGATCACTCACACATATTTATACGTTCCATACCTACATACATAGATGGGGTTACATGCATAAATAAAAGTCTGGAAAGATCATCTCCAAACTACATAATACTAGTTATGCCAGGGAAGAAGGCAGTTAGATTACAGAAATATTTCACTTTTTACTTTGCTATATTGTTTATATTTTTGCCCCATGTATAGATTACTCTTGCAAGGAAAAATAAAAAAGCTAAAAATGGAAGAACAGAGGAGATGGCCTTGAGTTGGAACATGACCCCATAAACTCTGAGATGACAGCAAAAGAGCCATGGAAAACCAGGAAACCACCCATGCTTCAAGCTTTGCCAGAAAATTTTTACTAAAAACAGCCTCTTTGGAACAACTCTTGATGATACCACTGAGCTGAAAAGCACTGTCCTTTAGGAAAACTCAACAATAAAGTTTTTTAGACTGAAGGCCCAGAAATCTTGACTTTCTGAGGAACTGGACTGATGACCCGATTTCTCTTGATGGAGAATGCAAATAATCTAACTAATCATGATTTTTCCCTTTTCACTGTGGATGCCAGGAAGCTCACAGGTAAAATGTTTAGCTAAATTTATACGAAGGCCAGATGGTCTGTGTATTTTCACAGCAACTTCACATGCTTCTTGATCTTCTATTCTTTCTAAATTTCTCTTAATTCTTTTTCAACTAATTTTCAACTAATTGCCCTTTCCCATTTTGTTATGGGAAAACCAAGTGGAAAACAAATAACTTACCTGAGTTTCAGTCATTTTCTGTTTCTCTTTGCAAAGCAATTGGGAGTGTGGTGGAGTACAGAAGAGTCTTCAGAGACAAAGTTGAGCTAACCACTCTTCAATGACTGGATGTGACGTGTGTTGCTTGTTAATTGTTAAAGTTATCATTGGTAACTTGTGTTTCTCTTCTGACCGGTAATTCCAATTCTAGAACTTTGTCCTAAGGTAATAATCACAGATATGTGTAGAGATTTAACTGCAAAAACCTTCATCATAGCTTTGTCTTTAACACCATAATACTGAAAATAGCCTAAATGCCCAGTCACTGAGAACTGATAAGATAAGTATGGAACCTCTAAAGGAATGGGAAGGCAGGCAACCATTAAAAGTAACACTATGGATAATTAAGAAGCTCAAGAAGACACAACAACCAAGTGTAAGGCATGGACCCTGTCTGGATCTAAACAGAAAAAAATTCTTTGAGATAATCATTAAAGTTTGAGCCCTGACCAGACATTTGATGATATTAAGGAATTTAACCACTGCTGATCTGAAGACATTATTATTTCACCTTGAATAACAGTATTAATCTTTAAGTCCTTATCATTTACAGATACATAATTAAGTATTTATGGGTAAAATGATATGTTTAGGATTTGTTTCAAGATAATAAGGACTATATATGTAAAAAATCATTGAGTTATATACTTAATATTTGTGCATTTTGAGTTATACCTGATTTTAAAAAAAGAAAGAAAAAAACAATCTGAAAGGAAAAAATGAATGGGTGGTCTATTTAGGAGTTGGCAAACTTTTTCTGTAAAAAGCCAGATAGCAAATATTTCAGACTTGTGTAGCCTATGGTCTCTGCTGCAACTACTCAGCTTTGCCATTGCAGGCTGAAAGCAGCCACAGACAATATGCAAACCAAATATATTCACTGGCTATATTCCAATAAAACCTCATTTATGAGTACTGTAATTTGAATTTTATATCATTTTCACATATCACAAAATATTATTCTTTTGATTTTTCCAACTATTAAAAATATGAAAACCATTCTTAGCTTATGGCTGTAGAAAAAGAGGCCCGATTTGGCCCATTGCCTGCAGTTTTCCCTCTCTTGGTCTAGATGAAACAAGATTGGCCATGAGTTAACGATTGATGAGATTGAGTGATGCACATAATGGAGCTTTATTATACAGTTCCCTCTATTTTTGCAAATGTTTGAAAAGTCCTTAGAAATAAATTAAGTAGCGCTATGGAAATAAAGCTAATGGCATGGAAAGATAGGCGAGAAATGAAGAAGAGGCAGACCACAATATCATGCTCCCAACTGTTTAATAACAAACATCTGTCCCCTAAGATATTACAGTGGCTTGTGGACCTCCAAAGCTCAACTCTACCTGGAAAATCTTATTCCTTGGTATTTAATTTATTTGATTGGATTTTCTTGGGTATCATATGAGCAGCACTCACCTTGAGTTCATGAAAGATCCATGAAATATAGTTGACCCTTAAACCACATGGGTTTGAACTGAACAGGTCCACTTATATGCAAATGCTTTTCCAATAAGTGTATACAGTACTGAAAATGTATTTTCTCTTCCTTATGATCTTCTTAATAATATTTTCTTTTCTCTAGCTTACTTTATTGTAAGAATATAGAATATAATATAACAAAACATACAGAATATGTGTTAATTGACTATTTATGTTATTGGTAAATCTTCCAGTCAGCAATAAGCTATTAGTAGTTAAGTTTTGGGGGATCCAAAAGTTCTACATGGATATTTGACTGTGTAGGGGCTCGGCGCCCTTAACCTCTGCGTTGTTCAAGGGTCAACTGTATATACAAGATCAGTGTTACAAAACCATGGTGAATAGATAATCAGGTATTTACTCAATTATCATCCCAAGCCTCACAGGACAGGCCCTGCTATTATCTTCATTTCACAGTGAGGCAATTGAGGCCTAGAGAGGTTAAGTGACTTGTCCAGTATGACACAGCCAGTAATTAGAGAGTGAGGTGGTGGGAAAACAAAAAACAGAGAACTCTTCCTTAGCTGTCATGGCACCAAGATTTTCAGAGATGCAACTCTCTGTCTATTTCTGGATGCCCTAAAAAATTAATTCTCCTCCTAATTCACAGATGACGTTGTCTACTTTTTAACTCAAGAATAACAAAACATTAAATTTATATTGTGCTTTACAGTTTAAAATTAACTTAAAATCTTAATATTCAATGCCACAATTTGGAAAGAGAAGTCAAAAATTAAGGAGATATTTGCAAAACACATATCACTGATAAAAGAGCGGTATCAGAATATATAAAAACAATTTCTACAAATCAGTAAGGAAAAGGCAGACAACCCAATAGAAAGAAAATGAGAAGATCTGAATAGGCATTTTATAAAAGAGGATCTCCAAGTGATCAATATGTATATGAAAACGTAGTCATCAGGGAAATACAAATTAAAACCACAATGTCTGACTCCTCCATTGGAAGGCTGAAACCACAAGACTAGGGATTTTTGTTTATTCATGAATGTATTATTGATCTCAAAGAGCCACCACTCATGTACCCCATATTGACCCTATATATTCTCATTCCTATCCCCATGGACCCTCATCACTCACCCTAAAAACCTCTCATCATTCTCACAGATTCCCCCATCATTCGCCCAACAGACCCGCCATCACTCGCCCCAGACCCCCTTCATTCACCCCTTGAAAGCCCATCATTCACCCTACATACACCATTTCTCCCCTCACAGACCCCCCAATCACTCACCCACCATGAACTCCCCGTTGCACATCCCACATACCATTATCCCTGATCCTACAGATTCTCCTATCACCGTTCTCTACACCGTTGAGTTCAAAGGACCCCTCATTAGTCCTTCCACATGTCCCCATCACTGACCACACAGCTGCATCGCTCAGCCGGGCCCCTCTCCCTGGCTCTGCACTCAGGACCCAAAAGATCCTTCTCAAGCCGGGCTTGGCTCCCCGCTTGCACAAATAAGTTCAACATCCCCCGAAATTCCTTTTTGTTTCCAGCCTTCCTTGGTGGATGTGGCTGACGCATTAGTTTATCTTTCGCAAGCTTAGAAACAGCCGCCCAACCGAGCTCTACCAGTAACAAAAATGGCGTCATTCGATCTGCGCCAGGAACTCTGTCGCCGAGTTCTACCAGTAACAAAAATGGTGTCATTTGGTCTGCGCCAGGAACTCTGTCGCCGGTCGGGAAAATAGTCAGGGTCTCACAGTGCTTCTGGAGCCTCCTATTACAGCCAGAGGGGATATGCGTTTTGGAACCCAGGAAGTCCCCATGATATTTCTAAGGCAAGGTATTCGGAAATGATGCTTCGAAAACAGTGTGAGGCTCTGAAGTATCGCGACTGTCCCGATTTGAGTGAATGGACGTTCCCGGCCATCAGCAGAGGCACAGCCTGAGCAAAGGCGTGGCAACGGAGCGTGTTGGGGTGCTCCGTGGGAACAAGGGAAAGTGGTAAGCCGGATGGTAGAAGCACCGCCTGGGCGACTGCAGTGCAGATGCCTTAAGTCTAAAACACTTGGAGAAACTGAAGAGTTCTTTGACATAACGTATTTACTTTAGGAGCCTCAAACGCACATCCCGCCTGCCACTCGGAACCTAACATCAACGCCCTCGGGCCCTCCTATTATTCAGTCAATGGGGCAGGGTCCGCCCCAATCTGTCACTGGCTTCTTGGCACTCCCGGCTTTCCATTGGCTCCTTCAAACACGGAACAGCTCGCACTCTCCTGTCAATCACAGGCTTGACTTTATGCTAGCATTACTTAAAGTGGGCAGATGCATTTCATATCAAAACTAAAAGGGTTAATAAATAGAGCAAAAGGTTCAAGGTAAAACCTAAGGGGCATTGATTTTAGAAAACCTGACAAAGGGCTAGACTGGAGGCCTGCTCAGAACAGGATTGAATAGTTAAAGGCTCAATTTCTGGATCTACAAAATAGAGGAGCTCTGATGGTACAGTAAACAGGTAAGAAAGTCCTGGGATTTGAGAACTCTACCAGGGGATATGGATGAAAGAAAATTCAACAAACACTTCTCTAGGTCAAACCAGAAGGGCACTGTTGGTGGAATAGTGGCCCAGTTCCATTTCAGAGTCATTCCAGAGAGACTTTGATGATGAATGTGTTAACTTAGACACAAACCTGAGCAGTAGTGGCATAATTAACAAAGGCCCAAAATTCATAGCCTATACCAAAGGGATAATGACGATGGAAGAGTTAACCAAGACCTGATTTCAAAGTCAGACCAAATGGGCATTCATTACAGAAGGGCTGGGGTTGATATACATAGCAAAAGGGGCACTAAGGGTGGAAGTTAGCACAGATTTGATTTTCTGCACACACCAAAAGAGCATAGATGGGGAGAATTTTTTTTCTCTCTTTTATTGAAATATATTTTCTGGGAAGAGAGAATTTAACTGAGTCCTGCAGTCAATGTAAAGACCTGAGGGGCTACAATGGGAAAAGAAAACACACTGGAGGAAAGTTTCACATGTAAATTGCCCTTAGAGTAGAAAAGTGAACAGATCTTCAAGTGTAATACACAGACACAAAGGGACTATTAACTTTCTACCCTCAATACTCTAGATTCTGTATTTAGATCAGAACCCATTAGTGGTGGAATAGACAACAGATGCCTGAGTTTAAGGTAAAATCAGAGGTTTATTTAGGTTGAAAAAGTTAATAGAGGCCCAGGTTAATAGAGACATAGGTAAGGGATTTTGAGGTGGAATGGCTAACAATGGCTGAGATTTAAGGTCACACAGAGGGACACGGACAGTGGAAGAGTTAACAAGGACATGGTTTGAGTGTTGACCAGATGGGTATCAATGGTAGAATATTTCAAAGATGCCTGTATGAGTTTCCAATTGCTGCTCTAACAAATTACCACAAAGTTACTGTCCTAAAACAACACAAGTTTATTATTTTACAGATCTGGAAGTCAGAAGTCCAAATGGGTTTCACTGGGCTGAAGTCAAGGTGTTAAAAGGGCCATTCTCCCTCCAGAGGCTCTACAGGAAAATTCGTTTCCTTGTTTTTTCCAACTTCTAGAGGCTGTTTGGATTTCTGGTTCCTTCTTCCATCTTCAAAACCATCAGCATAGCATCTTCAAAATCTCTTTCTGACTGATCTTCTGCTTCCATCATCATATCCCCTGCTCTGTTTCTGACTCTCCTTCCACCTTCTTATAAGGACCCTTGTGGTTACATTGGGCTCATCTAGATAATCCAAAATAATGTTCCCATTTCAAGGTTTTTAATTTAATCACATCTGCAAAGTTCCTTTTGCCAGGTAATATCACATATTCACAGGTTCTGAGGATTGGGATATGGGCATCTTGGAGAGACCAGTATTCTAACATAATGCCCAGTTTTGAGGTAAAACCAGAGGGTCAATGGTGGTGAGAGATTTGATTGAGGCACAAGATATTAATAGGGGAAGTCTACTGATAGTAGATCAGATTTGAATTCCAACCTGATGGGCATTAATGAGAGGCCCAGGCTGTTATGTCAAAATTGTTTCAAAGGCCTGGGTTCAAGATCAGAACAAAGGAAATTGATGGAAATTTCAATAGAGACCCTGGACCCTGGATCAAGGTCACTGGAGCATCAACAGTGGAAGTTAACAGAGTCCCAGGTTTAAGATCTAGAAATAGGTGCATAGATGGTGGAATACTTAACAGAGCCCTGGGTTTAAGGTTAAAGCTGAGTGTCTTTGATGAATAAAGATTTAACAGATGGCCAGATTCAAGATTTGAAAAGAGGGGCATTGATAGTAAAATCTGTGATCTGAGTTTAATATATAGATCAAGGGAAGGAACTAATGTTGGTAAGAGACTTGAATTTGATTCACAGATGAGAAGAGGCATTGATGGAAGAAGAAATGAAGAGATTTGGGCTTAGTTTTCATGCCAGAGTAAATCGATGATGGAAAGGTTAGTTAACAGAGACCTAAGTTAGATGCCCAATAAGTGGGAGATTAGTGGCATAAGCATTAATAGAAGCCTGTGTAGAGAGAAAACTGAACAGATAATCAGGCGCAAGATCAGACCTGAGTGGCAGTAAGAGTGAAAGAGTTAACAGTGGACCTAGACCAAAATTCAGACCTGAGGGACATAGATTTATTGTTATTTGATGTTCAGGCTCAGGTTGAAAGTGTTGAGCCCTGGGAGAGGGGTTCTCCATTATTTTACACTCTGGTTCCCTTCTGCAGTAAATGTCTCCAAAGTCATGATTGCCTTTTGGATTCCATGGGTGTGGTGTGTTGAAGGGTGGTAGGATTTGCCTGAGCTCTTGGTTGTAGGATCATTCAGTCTGAAGACCCAGAAATTGGGGAGTTTCATTATTTTATTTAATTTAGGTTTGATTTATCTTTTAAAAAAAGAAAAAGTTTGTCCTGTACACCACTAAGACCAATCTATAGTCATTATTTCTAGAGTAATTGCTACAATGGCAGAAAATAAAAAGTTATAGAAAATTGTTTTCCTAAGAAATGTGAATTAAAATTGTTCTCTAAATAAAATCTAGTTAACTATACAAAATAAAATTAAAAATTTTTGTTTTGCAAATGCAAGACCCTTGTAGATATCAGTAAAAGAAAAAATATGATTATGAAAACCTTTAGCATGGGGCTCGAGCAGATTGGCCTTTTCCAGTTAAGGAGCCTTAATCCAAAGTGGCAAGATGATGCTGAGAGTTCTTCATCTTCCCTTCATGATTCCCTTGTGTTTGATGCCACATCTCCAGAGGTGGTTGGCAATGAATTATTTAATTTGAGGCTGGGAGTGGACAATGCACTGGTAACTTCAGCAAGATGTCAGGATCCTGCTCGGGTTCTCCAAGATGTGACAGCAATAGGTCCTTAAAGGCGATGTCACTGGCCCTGTTTGAGGTTGTATTAGGGTTTGGACATCAGCTAGACACTACAGCCAACACCTTTAGTCAAGAAGTAAAGAGGAGAGAAAGAGACAGAAGAAGAGGGAGAGAAGAGTCTGAGAGGCTGTAAGAGAGAGAAAGACAGTAAAGAGATGGAGAGGAAGAGGAAGAGTCAGAAAGAGATAAGCAGATAAAAGTCAAGAGACAGGGTGGGTAACTTGGTGAGGCAGGGATGGAGGACTTCCTTCCTAAGTAACACCCACCCAACTCACAGGCAAAACTGGAGGAGATCAATAAGAATCTAAGTCAAGGATCTGGCTACTGCAGCCTCTTTCTGGAGGAATCCTTGCCCTGCCATCTATCCCACTGAGTCCCCACTGTCTCCCCTCCAGGACAAATTCATGGGTCTAGAGAAATCTGTGGAGAATTCCACAGGATAAAAGTCAGGAGCTGCAGGCTGATGCCTTCCTCCCATTGGATAGACCTGGGGAGGGGCTTGGGATGGACTAAGGGGAGCAAAGAAGCTGTCTCTCTGCCCAAAAGCAGTCAAGGTATCTTCAAGGCAGAAATTAGGAACCCACATCTGAAATCCTTAGGACTAGGCTGCAGGAAGTGTCCCCTCATCTCTGCTCTCTGTTCCAGCAGGTTATTTTTCCCAGCCCTCTTTCTCCAGGTAGGTAAGTGCCAGGATAGACCAGTTGCACCAGTGCATCCAAAGGCCTCAAGGAGGACCCCGTGTCCCAGTTTTCTTGGCAGATGTTCTAAGCTATTTTGCTTTGTGGCTCTGCCGATTGAAAGGAATTAGAGTCCAGGGGCCAATGGTGCTGTGGGAACTTCTGGGTCAGAGAAGATAGAACACTTAATGGATTACTCAGGATTTGATGAGCAGTGGCATTTGGATTTTACTATTCAGAGGCAGTATAGATTTCAATATCCACTTGAAAGGGATGCTAAGCCTAGGCATCAGTGCCACCATTTAAGGATACTGCACTTGGTGATGCAGCTGCCATGA